TTTTCGGCCGGGCAGGTCGGCCGGTGCCGGCTGGCGGCCCCCCGGGGGGGGGGGGGGGGGTGACTGGGAAGGGGCAGCAAAAGGGCGGAACGCACTCTTCGTGGCAGGCGGTTCTTTGGGCCCTCCCTCGGCCATAGGCGAGAAGAGCCCCCTGCCCTGACGACGGCAGGGACGACGGGCGCAGGGTCTCAGCTGCAGCGGCGCTTGGATTCCAACTAGCTGGCCACCGCCATTCTCACCTGGCACTTACACGGGCCTCTCTGTGTGTGAAAAACAGGAAGGCGGCAGCTTCCGATGGGCTTGCTCTACTTTCCTGAACTGCCGCCCTGCCGGAATGGCCCAGCAGGGCTGCTTCCCCAATCCTGAACACATTGACTAGGCAGCAAATCCCACTGTACTCAGAAGAACTTGGTTGGGGTCCTCCTTTCCTAGTTTAGAACGAAGTCCAATTTCAGAAGGGTTTATTTTCTAGCAATGCACTGAGGACCCAGATATGGGTGTGGTGAATGCCCATACTTAAATCAGGAAAGGTTTGTCTTCTTCTTCTTCTTCTTTTTTAAAAGTTATTTTTATTAATTTTTTCATAAACAGATTTCAGTAAGACTCCTGGTTTATGGACTAGGAAAAGTGGATGTCTAAGTCTTTCTATTTTAGAAATATCAGAGCAGAAAAAAATCTCATTAAATGAAGCGATGAATTGTGAATCCACCTCTGATTTGTGAAAAACTTTTGTTTGCTAGGATAAGAAGGGGCTTACAGGGAAACAAGCTAACTTTGAGCGGAAGACAGTGTACCAGAGGCATGTCCGAACACCAAGCTTGCTGGCCAAAAGCATTTTGGAAGGTAATACCCTTGGACACTTTGACTTTTCCAGCTTCCAGGCATTCAAGCTTTGATGATGATTTAGTGAAGTGTCTGCCAGTGGCACTTGCTTGCATTATTCTGAACCATGTATGTGGATATGCAGGGTTTTTTTTTTAATCAGTACAAAAATTCATTTGTTTAATTTCTCAGCACATGCTCCTTGTTTTCCTTCCAACCTGGATGACATTTGAGGGACTGTATCCCTTATCCAAGGGATCTTCTCTGCAAAATTTCAGAGAGGGGAGAAACTATATCAGTTTTATAGATAATACAAATTCTCAGAGTGGGCTAAATCCCCCCAAAGCTAGGCAGAATAGCGCACTGGAAAGACATTTGGCACCCTCATAATATGGCAGAATTATGCAAGGAGCAGTGACTTGCATGGGGCACCCCTAGACAGGCAGGCAAAGTTGTAGAGGGGACGTCCCCTCTGGATGAGACCCCTGTTTTGGGCTCGGCTGCTACTCAGCAAGCAGGCATAGCTGCCTGTCTCTATCTCATTATGACCACCCCAGAGACACACTGTGAGTGTTCGAAACACATTATTTATTGCAAGTGCTTAGTAGAAATCACTTGACTAAATAAATTTAAATACAGTTCAAGTAGTACACACAGTCATTGTATGTGTACTTCAGTACATGCAAAAGTAGATAATGATGATGATGATGATGATATGCTCAATCCCATTGTTTTCATTGGGGTTAAGTGCACCACAGTCTTAGTTAGATCATGGCCATGCAATGTTGACTTTGCTTGAAAAAAATCACTGGGAGTTGGTTTCCTGGAAAATACATTTTGAATTAGGTCAAAAGATGTAATGGCATTTGCCTCACAGAAAATATCAAAATTCCCCAGGAATTTCACAAATAAAACATATTTCTTAATAATTAAGAAATGTATTCTGTTTCCAGAAGGAAGCTTGGAACCTGCTTATTTTTATCTGAAGACATAAAAAGGTGTTTAACATCCATATGAAAATTATGGAATGATTGAATGTTTTAACTCTTTTATCTGTTTTAATATATCTTGTTCAATGTATTTTTACATATATGTCTGTAAGCTGTCCTGAGCCTGCCTCTGCGGGGAGGGCGGGGCATAAATCAAATGAATAAAATAAAAAATAATAATCCAAAATTAAAATCAGAATTGGGAAAAATATGGTGAAACTAATGATAAACTAGCAACTTCTAATTAACACCAACTAACCACCCCACAAAACCACCCTCCCTGCAAATGAATACAACAGAATAGATTTCATTTTGACTTTAAAAGCATCTTGCTTTTGTTAACTATGTTAAATGTCTATGACAACTCTATACAAAGAATGCTTTGAGGATGCTGAATTTAAAAATCATATTGATTCTATAAAGTAAAAAATCAGGCTGAAAAAATACCATCTCTATCTTTTACATTTGCTTAAAATTTAAAATTAACCACATAGATTTTCAGACTGACTTTTCTTATCAGTATGCTAAAACAATGAAGGTGAAAACCAATTCCTATTACAGACTAATGACAAAAGTAATTTGATTTTTAAATGTATCTGGATGTCCAACTTAAATGTGCATTTTATAATGCAGTCCTATGTACAATTTTGGGTAAATCCCATCAGTGAGATTTCTTTCAGTGTATACATAACTTCACAGGTCTGAATCATAGGTGCGATTGCCTTATATCTAAACATTAAGGGGAGATGTTTTATTAGTGCCATCAACAAAACTATCTAGCTTTCTATGCGATCTCTAAGCTTGTATGAAAACACAAATAGAAAAACTTCCATAATCAATTAGGCTCATTAGTCACGTAAAATTAAAATAATTACTAACAATAAAGGAACAGTTTTCAGGACAATTTACTTTTAATCTGCAAACAGACAATCCTGCATTTCCTTATCAAAACAGATATATAGAAGAGTGATGCAGACTGATAGGGAAAAAGAAAAACCTGGCCAGGCCAGCTCCTCTCCCTATAACATAGCTTAAGATGAAGAAATTGGCAAGTGAAACCTTGTCATGGCATAGAGATAAGTACTATTACCTACTAATGGTTTACAAACAAAGCAGCAGTTAGAGTTGCTAGGTGGGGGAAAAGTTGGCAACCCTAAAAAAGCACTCACAAAATAAGAACACGATTGCACATACCTTTTCTAGTATGCCAAAATAGCTTGAAGGTTATATTCCAGCTTTTCTAGTATAGCAATCCCATGTTTTCTGAGTAGTGATTGTGATGAGTTATCAAACCATTTAGAAGAGGCTGAGCAAGCAAAAATGATGACTAGGTCTGGAAACTGCACACATCCCCACATTCCTTTCCCTCATTTGCTTCTGTCTTTCTGTCGTCTCTGTGTTCATACTGATTCATGTTTAGAGACCAGAAACGTATGAGCTATAGGTTAGCTTTGGCAATGATATTCTGCATTACTCAACAAAGAAACATAACCTGTATTTTAAAATGTCCTATCTATGGTTTTTTTATGGGATGAATGGATGGACAGGACATTGCAAAAGGTAACAGTAAGGACTGCAGGCCTGTAGCCAGGATTTTGTTGCTTGTGGGGCAATTTTTTTTCTGGTGGGGCTGAAGTTAGTGTAGAAAGAAAAGCCATTTAGCCAATAGAAAGCTCTTTCCAGTATACATCTCTAAATTGCAAGCTCTCAACCACTTTAGATGGCAGTTCTCAGCTGCTGCAAGTTAATCATTTCTGCCAGCCTGAGTAACAGTTCTGCTAACAAGCCAGCAGGTGGGGGGGATGACTTCTGTAGTCAAGAAAGCTAACACTTAGGCAGAAAAATTCTTTTAAAGGAGACCAGTTTCTTGACACAGAGTTAGAAAGGATCCTAGAGGTCACCTACTCCAGCCCCCTTGCTCAGTGTGGGAATTAGTTAACTACAGCACCCCACTCTGCTTAAAGGAACGCATGCCTTTAAAAATGTTTAAAAATGAGTGAAAAAAATTACATGAGAAATTCTTGTACAGCTTTGCCTTTAAGAAAGGGGATGGAACTCCCAAAAGCCCCACTGTACCTACAGGCCTGGAAATGAGTGGATACAATATTAGCACACATAACTTGAACTTACAGTTTCTGCACATTGTGTGTAAGGTCGGGAGGAAAACCTCTGCACTTTCTCCTGTGATGAGATGTGTAAAATTCAACTGCAAAGACAAGTCATTCCTCTTACTTACTGTGCATCAGTGTTGTCTTGAATGTTACTGAGGAAGCATGGTTAAGAAGAGCAAGTAACTTTTGCAGACTCTTCTCCTGTTTCTCCATGATGTCTGAAGCCACCCCTTTCATAAAGGTCATAAAACACTTTTGTATGCTTTATAACACAAATAACAGTGACTTCATTGGGAATGAAGGCACATGTACAGCTCCCATGCAGCAAATACTGCCAAAGTAGCTCTTCTAGCATCTTGCTACTTCCCTTATAACCCAGGGTTTGTATGCAAATGACCTATTCTATTTTGGGCTTCCCCCTCCAGGTTATCGTCCCATTGCAGCAGATCCCTACCTTGGAGGGAATTCACCCTTGCCGCCTCCTGTGAGTGACAGGATGAGAAAAAGACGAGCTTTTGCTGACAAAGAACTGGAGAATATCATGCTTGAAAGGGAGTATAAAGAAAGGGAAATGATGGAAGCTACTCAAGCTGCTGCCTTTTTTCTGCCAAACCGTATGGGGCATGGGTCTGAATATAACTCTTATAAAACTGCCTTTAGCCCTAATCAGATTGAAGCTTCCAATAAGGAGTTTTGCAACTTCTTGCCAACCTGCCTGGATCTAACAATGCAGTATTCAGGTTCAGGGAACATGGAACTGATTTCATCAAATGTGAGTGTAGCTACTACCTACAGGCAGTACCCTATACCCTCTAGGCTTCTGGTGTGGCCCAAGTGCGGTCCCCTGAATGATGCCCTTCTCTATCAACAGTGCCTTCTAAATGCTACCACAGTCCAAGCCCTCAAACCTGGGGCAGTCTGGGACTCCAAAGCGTCACAAGGTCAGGACT